CACTGACCACCACCCTCCGCTTTTCCCTCTGAGATGCTTGACTTCAAGCGAGACCAGGGAGAAGTGCCCTCCGAGGCCCAGGCCTGGGTACCCCGTAGCAATTAAGGGGAGACACGGGCTGCTGACACCTGGGTCTAGAACATGAACTCTGTCCACGCGCGGCCCCCAGTGTCCCCTAGGAACTACCTCCCCCTCCCCATCCTCAGTCTTCGGGGCCAGGAGTGGGCGTGCCTGGTGCTGCTGGGATGCAGGGGCCCCTCTGCTCTGTCCTTGCTCCCCTTCCCAGATCTGCTCCCACAGGCCTCTCAGTTAAGGGGCGACATCACAGCAACAGGGAGAAATGGACTCCTGGTGCTTCTAAGTGTGCTGAGCCCTGCCTCATAGGAGCAGGTTCAGGACGTCATCAGACACTGCATCTGTCTGTTCCCAGTTATAAAGCTAGCCTGGCAGCCACACAGGATTTTTGTTTCTAATACTTATTGCTGAAGAACAGAACAGCACACGAATTTACAAGGAGAGTGTCGGAGCTTTCTCCCCACTTTGACAAGCACAGTGGGGTGTGCAGAGAGCTGGGTGTGAGTCAGGCTGCTTGCACTTCCACCTTGGCCCCCTTACCTGCTCACCCGCCAGGTCCCCTCTCAGAACCTCAGGGGCACAGATGGCCCCTCCCTCATAGCACTGCCTATAGGCAGTAACTGCCAGGAGGAAGATTCAGCATCTGACAGGCTGCTACCCCCTCACCCCGTCCTGCCTCCCTCCTTTCTCATCCAGGGAATCATCTGGGCAGGTGCTTGGGGAAGAGGATGATGGTCTCCTGGGAGGCAGCAGGTCTGAGTGGGGTTGGAGCCAGTTCCCACCTGTGATTGGCTGAGCAGGGGAGGCACCACCTGGGAACGTTAGTGACACCCGCAAACCCAGGATCAACCTTCCCTCCTGTGTCCAGGGCTTGTGGGGATATTTGCTTGCTACAACAGCTGAGAGTGAAGTTTTGCTACATCCACACGAATTAAAATGTACATACTCTCTGATGTAGCAATGACACTTCCAGTGGGAGTTTCCTCTTTGACGAGAGTGAGGCATGGACAGCGGTATCGACTGAAGTGCTGTCTTAATAGCCCAAGGTTGGGGACAACTTGGTACCCTTGAGCAGAAGACTGCAGAGGGAAAGACGCTCTGTGCGTACCGTGTGCTGTTTTGCAGCTGCTGAGACCCTGGGCAGCTCTAGGTGCTGATATGGGATGAGTGACTTGGGATCATGTGGCTGAAAGTAGGCAGAGCTTGCCAGTCACCTGGGGACTCAGGGTCTGAATGCAAGGAGCATTTCAATCCTAGGAAAGCTGAGAACCTGTTCAATGGTTTGACCCAAGGAGTTTTTTTTTCGGCACCTACTATGAGCCAGGCTCTTCCAAGGAGCCAGTGTCCAGTGGTGGTGCAGGAGGAGCCTGGACTGAATCAGCTGGGTTCTGGAAGGATCCCATCAGTCACTGGCCTTGTGAGTGTGGTCTAGGTCCCTGTCACCTCTTGGCCTCAGGCTCCCCATGTGTAGGTGGGGGGCAGGGCAGTTGGTGTCTAAAAATCCTTCCTGCCCTGACTGTCCAGGATTCAGGAGTTAGAATGAGGATCCTGGGCCATTGGCAGAAAACCCTAAAGGAGCACCTTTGCTGCCTTGATGGGGCAGCAACTAAGACAGTAACATGTGGAACCTCTTCCCTGGATGTGGGACACTCTGAGGTGCGACAGCTCTGCTTGGAGCCTTCAGTGACTGTGCGTAGATCCCTGAATCATACGAGAGTTTCGTGACAGACCCTCCCAGGAAACACCCAACCTCTGGGCATCTCCTCCTAACCCGGCTGTGAGAGTTAACACTGAATCTCTGCCTCTAGGAGTTTCTTCTCAGTGTGATGATTCTCAAGAAGAAATAAAGTAACACATTCTACATCCTGCCCCCAACCCTCCACAATTCCCCCGCAGGGATGGACTCTCCGCATTTGAAGGGAAGAGGACACAAGCTTCATGGGAGAAGAGCCCTTGTCTGCTTTGTTCACTGCTGCTTCCACGGCATCCGGAGCAGGAGCAGGCACACAGTAGGTGCTCATTAAGTGCTGAATAAAGAGAAAACTTGGCCACTGTGAGGGGAGCACTCTCTGGAGGCAGGAGGTGAGGTCTGGCCTGTGACCGGGCAAATCCCTCGGACTTTAGCTCCCTCGAGCCTGGAGCCAAAGGGCTGGGCTTGCAGACTTTTCATACCAGTTACCAGACGTGGGGCCTTGAGTAGATAGCACGACATCTCCAGGCCTCAACTTCCCTGATCTGTAGACAAGTGAGAAATCGGATCGTGACCCAATCATCATAAAGCACCCACTGCTGCACCTGATTCTTATTTTTGCTCAAAGAGAGGAGGGCATTTTGTTGACTTGTTGTCGTAGAGCAGGGGACGAGGGGCCCACATGTACTCACCACTCACAGTGAGCCGAGTGCCTGGTCCAGACTTATACTCCGTGTCACCAGCTAATCCTCTCTGGAACTTCACACAGTAGTAGACACCGGCGTCTGCCGGGGTGATGTTACTGATGCGGATGGAAAAGTCCGTGTTGTCTCTCCTTGTGACATCTGAAGCATTTGTTACTCGGGGGATGTGGCCTCCTTTAAAATCGTAGATTAACTCCCGGCCTGGCCCTGTGCCCCTGAACCACCTGATGGGCCCCACGGGGATCAGGGAGGTCACGGTGCAGCGCAGAGTGGCCGTCTCTCC